GGGCCGGCCTTGGTGCCTTAGACCCGTTCCTACTGGAGGAAACTCACCTCGAATGACTCCCTGGCTATCAATTTCACAATAACACTTAATCAAAATCTGATAATTCTTCTTAGGGTAAAATGGCCATTTTACCCCTGGTCAAAGTCAACGTCCTAGTCAAAGTCAAAGTCAAGGTCAACTCCCAGTCAACCCAACTCGTCGAGTTAGCTCCTAACCCGGCGAGTTCCTGTACTACTCAGACGCGTGGTTAGCCGAGTCAACTCGTCGAGTCCTTTCGCTGACTCGTCGAGTTCTACCTGGCATACAATCAGGACAACCCGACTTTAACTCGTCGAGTCCCTTATCGGACTCGCCGAGTTCCCCTGTCTATTTGGGCTATCTTAATGGATTAAGCCCCCTACACTTCAGATCCAAGCTTCATACTTCACATAAACCCTGAAAATGTCCTTTTAAGGGTAAAGTTTTTGACTTTACTCATTAATACCTCTTCTTAAAGAGTTTAGCTCAAACCTTAATTCCTTGGGACCTAGAACTTGATCCTTAAACCACCCATACACCAAACTAACGCTTACAACCTCAGATCTAAAACCCTAACACTACTTGGACACGTAAACTTCCCAGCTTTCCTTCCAAGCATGGCCCCTTAGGGATAAAAAGGCCATATTAATGCTTATAAGCTTGAATGGGGCTTCCATGGTCATAAAGTTTGCACATTTATGCCATGGAACCCCTCCTAGATCCCAGATCTGAAATATAAGTCACTTGGGACGTCCAAAGCCCAAAGACCAAGGTTCTTGTACCAAAACCCTCATAAAATGGAAGTAAATAGATCTAAGGAATGAATGATCAAGTTAGAGACTTGATTACCAGAAAGTGATGAGGATGGAAGGAAATCCCTAGATCTACTATCTTCTCCTTGAACCTTCTAGCTCCTTCTTCTTCTTCTAGCTTCAAGAACACACCAAAAGACTCAAGAATGGCTCACAAACTCACAAGATACTCTAGGGTTTCGTGGATTAGGGTTTAGGACTTGGAGGCTGGAAATGAGGCCAAAAGGTGGGGATTAAGATGCTTAAATAGGGTGCAAAACCCCAAAATTAGGGTTTCACTCTGAGATACCTACTCGTCGAGTCGATGGCTCTTGACTCAATGAGTAGGTGGCTGAAATCCCACGTCCAAGACTCAATTCTACTCGACGAGTCTGGGGCTTCCAACTCGTCGAGTAGCTCTATAAAAATGAATAATTTGTAAATAAATGCGTACCAGACACCGGACGTTACAATTAAATAGAATTTTTACCCTTGATTTTTGGGTCGTTACACCAGCAGATGATTATGGTCGTATCTTCAATAATTAGTACGAGAGCTTTTAGGTTTTTGATATTGTTGAAGATTGTTACCGCATTCCTTTGCTAGATATATTTCATTAAAGCCCAGTTGAATAAAAATGTTTTCAGGTAATTTAGTTATTCGTGAGAATGACAAGGTTTGACTGTACACACACACATTCACAACATGTTTCCGCATAATGAAATTTTACTCTGATATGTTTTAATAAATAAAAATGAAAATTTTGAGTTGAAAATCGGGAGGTTACAAGTTTGTATAAGAGCCTTGGTTTGAGTGAACTGGATGAACACTCTTTTGATTCCAAACTCAAAGTAAGGATTTGAGTAATTAATAAATCTTTTTATAAAAGGAATAATAAAATAATATGATGCGTACAGTCAGCCAAAGCTCATAAAGGAAAGTGATTCGCAAAATATACATATTTGTTATGTTGTTGAATATGAAATGTTAAGAATGCATGCTAGTATGTACGCTAGGGATCTTTTCACGAATTGTCGGTTAGAATTGTCTGATCCATAAGATGCCTTATAGCCTAGGGTTTTGCCTATTATTTGTTGCTTAGAACCTATATTAATATTAGTTAGTTATTCGACATGTAGGTTAGGTTGCATGTTTCCAAGATTAAATAGTTTTAGATTGCCTGATTTGGCGCTATTGCGTAACTCTCGTTTGAGTCTAACCATCGTAGTGTTGGATCTTTCAGTCGACAGACTATTTGATTTTAGAGGCATGTAATCACATTCGTCCGATAATTAGTTAATATTAGTAGAAGTTCTTCCTCGGCTAACAATAGAGAAAAGAGAAAAGGAACCCTAGAAGGATAGCCTAGGAAGTTTAATACATGCTCGATAGGACATATATTCATAACATAGGGAGTCGGTAGAGACGCAAGATCCTAGTTGTTGGGGTACAAAGCTCTCCATTTGGTGATGACTTGAAAGCTTCACCCTTTTAAAAAGCCTTGTGCCTTATGACTTATGGGAATAGCCTTGTGACTTATGGTTTGAGCTTTCCTATATATAGTAGTAGTTAAATATTTTTTTGTAGGTTGAGAGATTTCCCATTTTGTATAGATGAGTAGATTAGTTTGAGAGAGAGTATTGTTGGAGCAAGCACATGCTACTACAAATTTTGTTCTGCTCCATTTTATCTATCCAATTATGCTTAAATGTTAACTCGTTCTTTTCGATTATGCATTTCTACATTTCCGCAATGTCAATCAAAGCTTCATGTCCTAACAAGTGGTATTAGAGCCAAACCATGAAGATTCAAATGATTAGTTCATGGAACGGTTCATGATTTGACTACATTTTACGTAATCGATTCAAGATTCGATATCTTTTGGTGAGTCTCTCCAAATTTTCTAAATCGTATATATCTTTATATAAATTTCTTGTTTATTAAGATTTTCCAATTGGATCTATTTCGTTTCATGCCAAATTTGTTGATACAATTCATTTTCTTTCATTTATTCATATATTTGTTAGCCTAATCCTATTGATCCAATATGTTTTTGTAGATCTAGCCCGATCTATGATAAATTGATCCAAATATACTTGTTACTGTTCATATGATTTAAAAGCCCATATTATTGTTTACAATTCACCTGATCCGATTGAAATCCCAAATCGTTCATTAGTTCTTCTAAATTTTCTTGGCATCTGCTTTATCGTTCATTCACATTGTTTGCAAGATTTTCTTCTCAAATCGTACAATATTGAATCGGAATTAGGGATGAGCAAAAGGACCGAACCGACCGGAACCGGCCCGAACCGAACCCGACCCGGGAACCAGCATCGGCCAAAATCAAGAACCGAACCGGCCCGACGGTTCTACCAGTTTCGGGTCCGGTTTTTGCCGGTTTTTTGATTTCGGAACCGGTCTTCGAGAAATAGCAACGTATTTTGGGGTTACGGTTTCGGTTTATGCCCCGTTATTGAATATGATTATAAGCACGAAGATCAATAACATGAATGCAAAACTGTTATGTATTTATATACATATACATAAAATTGTTTAATATTTAAAGTCGTATATTTTAAAAACACAATAAAACAAAATTAATGTTGAATCCTTTAAATTTTTATTTGTTGAAATCGATCGACTACATCGTTATCAGAAAGAAATACGTCATTCTCATTGAAAATGACCGAACAGTGACTCAAATGAACAAAAGTAGCATACTCTGGATATATCCCATCAGCTAGGTAATACCCATACTTATATTCATTTCCATTCAAAACGTATGACATGTCTGGTGCTTTACCCTGCAAAATATTGTTAAATAACGGAGACGCTTGAAGCACATTCATGTCATTGTTGGATCCCGCCATACCAAAGAATGCATGCCAAAACCATAAGTCTTGTGATACAACCGCCTCTAATATAACAGTCGGTACCCCATGATCACCTCGCGTGAATTGACCACGCCACGCATTGGGACAATTTGCCCACTCCCAATGTGTACAATCAATACTACCAAGCATCCCTGGAAAACCTGTGTAGCTTGATGCGCGACATACAACTGTTCGACATCACTTTTATTCGGATGACGCAAGTATATGTCACGGTAAAGCTCTATAACATACTCACGAAAAGATATGTACATTCTCGACCCGTCCTCTCAGACATTTTCAAATACTCATCTGAAGCGTTTGCGGTTATGCCATATGCCAATTGTCTAAGTGCGACCGTACATTTTTGTATTGTAGTAAAACCACGTTTACCTCTAGCATCCCATCGTAATTGGAAAAAACTCATAATTACGTTCCAAATCTCTAACTATACGTAAGAATAAATTTCTACTAATACGAAAACGTTCTTCAAATCTCGATAGGTCATATAAACTATCAGGGGCAAAATAATCACGTACCAAAAGTTCATTTGCCGGCTCTCGATCCCGGTTGATCCATTTTCTATGTTTCTTATCGCGGTGTGAACTTTCGCCTCTCGCATGAATCATGTCTTGTGCTGCAGACAATAGTTTGTGCAAAACCAAGTCGTCATCAGAACTGCTATCCATTTTTTGTTAAATGTGTGTGTTTGATTTGAAAGAGTTTGTATGTTTGTTTTGAAAATTTTGTGTAAAAATGGATGTATATACAGAGAGAATAAAGTAAAAATAAAAAACATTTTTTTATTTAATGCTTTTCAACGGTCAAAAAGCCCCAGCCAATCCCGTCTTTCGTGTTCGTCCGTCCTTGGCTTCACGTCACAACCAACCCACCATTAATGGGGTCGATGTTCACGCGTTGAGAGGTCTCCACTCCAGGCAGCCTAAAAGACAAAAATTTTGTTAGAATCTCAAAATGAAAGTTAAACAAATTTCAAATTTTAGTCATATACTGTTTTTCTAAATCTCTATAATTAACTTGTCGGTAATATATATTTAGTGCTATATATACTTTAAACTATGTATTTAAGTTTGTTCCAGTTTCTGTGTATTAATTTTTTGAAGATTTTTAATTAACTCCTTGATTTTTATAATTGTGGTAGTTTTAGTCAATTATAGTACATACTTTATCCACATGAAATGCATATTATATTAAACAAGCTTAAAGGGCGGATTATATAATTGACTAAATATGAGTATAATATATTAGTCGATAATTTTATAATCCGTTTTATATCTATAGTACTAAATCTTCTTTTATGGCGGACGTAGATTGTTTTCTTTTTGTTTTTACATGGAAATGGGGCAGTGAGTTATTGTTTCGTGAATGGAGGTTCCTTTCTGGCGTGCGGCCGCCTGTGTACACAAGATCTGAAGTACGTATAAATAAGTGAAGAAAGCACGTCATTTCAACACAATTCCACATACCATTGAATTCCATCTCTAGTCATCACTCATTAGTAATCAAGATGTTGGCTTTCTTGGATCATATTTTTATTTACATATTGCCGTTGTTTCTAAGTGCTGCGTTCTTAATCAGATGGTACAATTCTACACCACCAACTATCATCAAGAAACTACCACCTTCACCACCAACGTTGCCGGTTATTGGCAACCTCCACCAGCTCGGGGCACTCGTCCACCAGTCATTCTTTTCTCTGGCCAGGACGCTATGGTGACTCCCTCATGCTCCTCCACATCGGCTCAGTCCCAAGCCTGGTCGTCTCGTCAACTGAAGCGGCTCGTGAGATCATGAAGACACATGATTTAGCATTTGCCAGCAGGCCCACCACCAGGATGTTCAGGACCATCTCCTACGATCTCAAGGAAATAACAGTCGCTCCTTATGGTGAATACTGGAGGCAAGCAAAGAGTATTCTAACTCTCCAGCTTCTGAGTAACAAAAAGGTCCAATCTTTTGATGGGCTTAGGGAAAAGATAATTGGCGATTGCCTCACTAAAATCACCCAATGTTTCTTGTCAAACAAGCCTGCGGACTTGAGCGACTTGTTTAGCTCACTTACAAACGATGTCACATGCATGGCGACGTTTGGGAGGACGTATAACGAAGGAGAGATTGGTAAGAAATTAAAAAGATAATGCAAGACTTCTCCGAGGTGCTGGGTAGCTTTTATTTTGAGGATTCTATTCCTCAGCTTGCATTCGTGGATCGGATTACAGGTCTTAGTGCTAAAGTCGATAGGGTGGCAGTGGATTTTGATGAGTTCCTTCAAAATGTGGTTGATGAGACTTTATCCAAGAAAAGAAATAACCCTAATCCAGTTAGTGGTGATGAACATGGTGTGGAGACCTTCATTGATGCACTACTCAAGATTCAGAAGGAAGATATTCTTGGCATCACCATCGACGCAGACGTCATCAAAGCACTGCTCTTGGTATAAATATACAAATCTCTTTTCATCTTTATATACATGACAAATTGACAATTGAATGAATCTCAGCCACTAAACTTGTTTTGACCTATTTTGTATGTAGGATGCGTATGTTGCTGGTACGGATACATCATCATCCGTACTGGAATGGGCGATGACTGAACTTCTGTTACATCGTGATTGCCTTGAGAAAGTCCAGGCCGAGATAAGGGCAGTCCTTAACGGAAAGAAAAGAAAGACATAACTGACAAACGATGTGGAGAAGATGAAGTATCTAAAATGCGTCATCATGGAAGCCACACGACTCCATCCTCCCCTTCCAGTTCTACCACCACGAGTTGCAAGACACGATGCCAAAGTAATGGGGTATGATATTGCAGAAGGAACTAGGGTATACGTCAATGTTTATGCAATTATGAGGGATCCTAAAGTGTGGGATAAACCTGAAACGTTTATGCCGGAGAGGTTCTTGGAGTCATCTATTGATTTCGTGAGGCACAATTTTGAGTTGCTTACATTTGGTGCTGGAAGGAGGAGTTGCCCTGGAAGGATATTTGCCATGGCCATCAATGAGAAGGTTCTGGCTAATGTTTTGTACAGGTTCGATTGGGCTCTGCCACAAGGAGTTAGGCCACAGGACGTAGATATGAATGAAACTTTTGGTCTCGCTAATCACCGGAAGGTTCCATTGCTAGCTCTTGGGACACCATTCTTCCCATAATTAAGCAGCAATACCGGCATTATCTAAAACATTACTAGCTGAATGGATGGATGGATATTTGCCATTAATTTTCGTTTATTTTGGAAAAAATTACATGTACGTTGTAGCCCAAGTTACATGACATGCATATTCTTTTGTTAAATAAATATATATTTTTTTTGAAACGGAAAATTAAATGGAAATCTACTTGCAATATTTCAATGAACACCTGGACAGTTCTAGCTCATTTACATGACAAACCCAACCTCATATGGATTATGGATTATGTAATGTTAATTAAATTAATATATAGTGGGCAAACATAATGTTATCTTTATATAACCATTCATATAGTTTTTCATCTGTTGCCCTTTATAAATTTACACATCAGTGTAATTAATATTCATGTATGATTTTAGCTTTTACATCAATATGTTTAAAAGCATGGTTATTGTACATATTTCTAAATGAGGTTATATTCATTAATCTATCCAAAAAAAATGCATCAACTGCTTCCATCATTCTAAGGATATCAACTAGTAGGATAAACACGTCTAATATTCTTATAAGGAAATCTTAACCATTTAATGATCATTGTCAATATCCTATAAAAATACATGATAATATATGGTACTTACCAAGATATTCTATTGTTAAATGAGTAAGACTAAAGGGAGTGGTGACGCATGCTAAAGAGATGCTAAGACATGCTAAAGAGATGCTAAGACATGCCACATCATATTTTTTTTCCACCTAATCTTTTGTCATAGAAAATATATACACTTGAATTTAAGAAAAAAATTAAAACAAAAATCCAAATAAAAGATGACCAATCACAGCCTTCTGATTTTAGAAAAAAATAAAATAAAAAAAAGAAAGCAAATACAAAAGGGCCAATGACAGCCAATTGCAAATAATCTTTTCTTCTCTCTCTTCTCGCTAGTGAACCGGCGAGCTCTTCTTAGCACATTGCTTAACATGGTGAAGGGGGTGATGTTTTGTTCATGCCAAGCTTTTGGCGAGTGGGCTTGGCGCCCCCACTCCCTTTAGCCTAATAGTTAATATATAAATAAAGTTTAATGGATTGTCACGTCATCTTTGTATATTTTATATAATTCCATCAATTTTTTTTCTATAATGTATTGAACTCTATAAAATTCAATGGAACATGTTTAAATATTTATTTATGTAATAAAAACTTTCCTTTTTTCCATTGAAAGATTCAATGACTATTGAACTCCAAACTTATTGAATATTAATATGACATCTCATAATGGTAGAGTTGAATCCATTAAATGACGAGTAAGTTTGCCACCTTACTCAACTCTCCTACTAAACTCTCCATTATGCATCCTCTTAATATGTACATAATATGTAGAGAACTCAATTTTTCTCAACTAATATTATGAAGATTTATCAAAGTTTTTCTATACAAATGTGGAATTCTAAATTTCAAAAATATTTTACATTATAGGATATTATGGGTTTAACATATCATAACATAATTTAAAGCAACAAGGAAGTACCAAATAAAAAACTATATCTAGTACAAGTCCTTAGTGCTTCTATCTCCTCCCATACAACAACTACTACCTGAACCTGCAACACATGAAAATCTACAACATCAGACAACAAGTCTTGTGAGTTATAAAATACTCTGTTTTTATGTCATCATACTCTTCTTCTCTACTTTCTTTCTTTTATTCTACAATTTGTTCTGTTCTACTCACACTCTGTCATTCTAACATCTTTTTCTCATACTCTTTCACTCTAGTCTCATATTCTCGCATTCTTCTCTTATATTCTCATCTTTTCATACTCTACTTTATTCTCACATCTTCTCATATTAATCTCATACTCTTACTCCATCTTTACCTCTTCTCATACTCTTACTCTATCTTCATCTCATCTCATACTCTTTATGCGTCTCTTCTCATCTCATCTCATACTCTTACTCTTTACCTCTTCTTATACTCTTACTCTATATTTATCTCATCTCATACTCTTCTCTTACTTTATTTGCACCCTTTCTCATCTCATCTTATACTCTTACTCTATCTTTACCTCTTCTCAAACTCTTACTTTATCTTCATTTCATCTCATACTCTTCTCTTGCTCTATATGTACCTCTTCTCATCTTATCTCATACTTTTCCCATACTCTATCTTCACCTCTTCCTATACTCCTACTCTATCCGCATCGCATCTCCTCACATCTTCTCATACTTTACTTGCATCTCTTCTCATAATCTGCCTCTCTACTCTCATCTTCTCACACTTTTCCATTCTATTCCTATTTAGAACCAACCGGTCTAATCACATATGATAGCTTCACCTATCAACTAGTGGGACAACTCTCTTACTCTCTTACTAAACTCTCCATTTTGCATGCTCTTCATATGCACATAATAAGTAACGACTCGATTTTTCTCAACTGATATTATGGAGATTTATCAGAGTTTTTCTATACAAATGTGGAATTCTAAATTTCAAAAATATTTTACATTCCAGGATATTATCAGGTTTACAACATATCATAACCATAATTTAAAGCAACAGGGAAGTATCAAATAAAAAGCTATATCTAGTCCAATACATTGCGAGATGAGTCTTCTAATTATACTATGTAGGATGCTAGTTGTCTTTGTGATAGTTGCATGGAAGAACAAGATCAGGCCCTTGACATCTGTATGAAAGACCATATGAGTAGTCCATGGCAGTTATATGAAAGACCATGGGGTAGCCGATGACACTTGCTTGTAAGACCAGGATTTGGCCATTAGCACTGCAAGGAAAGACCAAGAGGGTAGCCAATGGCAGGAAGTGACTGTAATACTATGATTTGGCCCATAGCTTTCACTTGGGGTTGAAATAGACCCAATTTGTTATGTTTGGTATATGGTGTTTTGGGGAACTCAGTAAGCTTTGTGCTTATGGTTTTATGGTTTAAAATGTTTTAGGTACTTCTTATTCCAAGGGAAAGAGTCTGGCATGGTTGCATCGCATCCACAGAAGATTTCATACTTATGATTTTGTTATTACTTTGATGTTAATTGGAAATACTTTTGATACTATAATTATCCTAAAAGTAATGAATGAATGTTGTGGTTGATTTGAAAATAAAAATTTTATCTGGTATTTTTGGGACGTTACACGGTTACTCTATGTTTACATATTCTCATACTCTTACTTTATCTTCCTCTCATCTCATACTCCTCTCTTACTCTATATGCATCTCATATCATCTCATACTCTTCTCACACTCTATCTTCACCTATTCTCATACTCCTACTTTATCCTCATCTTACATCCTTACCTCTTCTTATACTCTACTCTCATCTCTTCTCACATTCTTCCTCTCTACTCTCATCTTATCAGGCTTTGCCATTCTATTCCCATTTAGACCCAAACGGTCTAATCGCATATGATAGCTTCACCTATCAACTAGGGGGACAAAATAGTTCTGACGTACCGGTATACAATCATCCGGACTTAGTCCCCTCCCTTTGATCCCTCATGGATCCTTTGGCTACTTTTCTTTTCTTGAATCCCTGGCGGTTTACAATGATCCTTTCTTCTACCCGTAATCCCTTACGTATTATTTATCAAGGCTCTTTAGAAGAAACCTCTTACATTGTTCCATTCATAGAAACCTTTCTCGATCTTTTCTAACGAAACATAATCTCATTCCCAAAGGAATCATCTTTCTACATTCCCGAGGGAAACATCTTTCTACATTTTTAAAACCATTCATATAAATGTTATGTTCTTCCCATAATCTTACATATCACTTGTCACATAACATTCTATCACATCATTTCATTAAGAAATCTTCTACTATTAATATAGTACTTAATTCGTTAAGTACTTAATATAAATCTCCATCTAATAACATGTAGGTATCTAACATAATACCATTAACATCTTTTCTTGCATACACAATCATCCATATGATTATAGTTCATATAATCGTACTTTATCTTCATATCTTGTAGGTATTTAACTTAATACCATTTACATCTAATCATATATATATATATATATATATATATATATATATTATATATATATATATATATTCATAAGATTATAATACATATAATCATAATCTAGTGAGAGAGTTATAACTTACATCGTTAGTTAGAGAAAACTAACTACCACTGGTTTCCAATCTTTAATTGATGTACTTGATCCATCTTTTTCCTATTCAAGAGAAATTAATGTCTTTGGATTTGACAGAATATATTTTTTCCTTAAAATTTAAATATATAAGAAAAGATGAATGTTGGTAAATTTGAATTTGACATATTATTACGGTTTGTCATGAAGATAAATTTTTTATTAGTTTTTAGTTAAACATTTAAATAGATGGTACTTTCAATGTTTTTCTATAATAATATTTTCTTACTTTCTATTTCCACATCTTACAAATATGTACTATAAATAGAAGGGTTCACAAAGAAACTTATATTTTTATAAACAAGGTTTTTATTGGCATGTGTTACGTGCAGACAAATAATATACACAAAACACCTATGAAGGTTATGAAGAGGATTTTCAATTTAACTATCAAATAAATTATGGGTATTTTATATATGTGCTTTTATTCTTTTTATTTTTTATAGGTTATAACTTATAGTGCGTGTTTTTTATATACGAATAATGTTCATATAGCCGCATATGAAGATTGTCAGGAGCATTTTCAATTCATTGATTAAATAGATTATGAGGTTATTTTATTATTTTTTAATTTAATTTTAAGAAAATGATATCCTTAACATTAAATGGTAGTTCATATTCATTTTCCAGAAAATGATATCCTTAACCTAAGCTTAAGTGGGGCTGTAATGTATATTCCCTATCCCCATATATATATATGGGAAAAGGGAATATACATTACAGCCCCACCTAAGCTTAGGTACTAAACCTCTTGAAAATACATTGTTTTACTATATAAAGATTACGGTTAATGGATTCACGATTAATACTTCAAGATGTAAATTCAAGATCGACACAATAGGGTTTAGGGTTTAGGGTTTAGATTTACGGTTTAGGGTTTAAATTTAGGGTTTAGGGTTTAGGGTTAGGGTTTAGAGTTTAAGGTTTAGGGTTTAGGGTTTAGATTTAGGGTTTAGGGTT